GACTAGTCTTGTTGCGCCTATCTATTGGTCTCGTGCCAGCCGCTGAAAACCCTCAAGGTTTCGCGTTTAGGCTTTCGTGCTTTCTCCGCCTCTGGGTCGGCGGACTGAGCCGGAGGCTCTTAAGTTACGTGGAATTATGAACGCTTTGACGGCTTGTGCAAAATTCTATTCCAATATGTTCTATCTTGAGCACAGTGGCAAACTTAACGATAAAAGAGTGTGTTGTCCATCCAGACTACGCTGCGCAGGATAGTAATGCAGATAACTGAAATAAAGAATAGTAATGGTAGCAACATGATGACAATGATAATAACAAGGGTAGGCATGAAATCACGGCAAAGACTTCTCTGGCGGAACTATCTTTGGAAGTTTGTAGACATGGGGGGTCCCTCTTATTTACCCCAATATACTCCCCTGAGTATGGGAACCCTCAAAAAAAGGATCCCTAATTTCTGGAAAACCAAAGCTCTGCCATTGGCACCTTCTACGAGTTCGCGGCGTGCTGCCTGCCGAGGGAGCACTGGAAATATGAACAAAGCTTAATGAACAGTTTGTCTGTTGGGTTTGTTGCTACAAGCTTAGCTTCAAGTTTGAGAGTTGTGCAAGAAGCTTGCGCAGCAAAACAAGAATGACCATGTGTCCTAGAGAAGTTGCATCCGTACGCGACTGTTAGTCGCACGTGGGGTAGATCAGCAGGTCTGTCATGGAGGCTTTGAGGGTAGAGACTGGTACGCGCATAACAAGCATTTCGAGTATCACGATCCTACTCATGAAGGACACCTATATAAGCGGCCGTGCAAAGAAGCAAGCAGCGTATAAGACAGCTCATTCATGATGCACGAGTGTCAGCCCCCAAAATCTCGCAAGCAGTTCCTCGCTCCACCTCCGATGTGTTGCGCGGCGCCTGCGTGCCTAACGCTATTGCCACTGAACATCAGGACCTGGGTCCTCATAGCTTTTCACTTTTGAAAGAGCCCCCTCATAGCGTCCATCTTTGGTAGACTTTCAATATAACCCTAATATATCCCATCATATTCAGGATGGTATGAATATACTACAGTAGTTTCCATTTTATTTTCCATTATCCCAATATAACCCCAATATAACTCCAATATCCCCAACGAAAAAGAGCCAAGCATTCTTTCATCCTGAGCTCTGCCCTACACCCTGGACCTGAATACTGCGCCTTATACCATGTAAGGTAGGGATCATTTCTGAAAACAAGGGGACCCCCCCAAAAAAGAAAGACCCCCCGGAAGACTAGAATCCCTATTCTGGGATATGGGGACCCCAGAAGAGGAATCCTAATTTTTGGAAATTTCGAAAAACCTGCTCACGAAAGTGGTCCTACGCGCTGCCTCGACCGCTGGCTTCGGGCCAGCAATGTCCACCGCCAACCTGGCAAAGGCTAACTGCCAATACTAAGGGTTTAGGGAGAAAGGTTTTAGGGTTTAGGGTTTGGGTTTACTAATGGAGAATCAAACGGAAAGGAAAATTGAATATGAAATGCAAACTGGGATAATAGGAGTTTACATGTTTTAGGCTTGTGACTTATAACCCAATAAACATCCATTTCAACCGCCAAGAAGGTGATATTTGAAACAGTTCACATGGGAAATATAGGGAACCCTGTAAAGGGTTGAAACTCAAGTGCGTATTCAGGGTGTAGGATGTGGAGGTATGTAGTGGTCAGGGCTTCAAAGACTTGAGGTGGTAATACTGTAGCGTTTGGCCATTCTTCACGGTTTGAGGAGGGCTCTTTGTCACCACTCCGTCCGAGACCAGCCATGATCCTGCAGAGGTGCTGCCCCACAGCGACATGAATTAGTTTGTTCGTTTGTTTTTGATTTTTGAAAGCGTGTTTTATCTTTTTCGTTTACTGGTGTTGTGCGCCTCACTACTGTGACAATTTCGCCTGCATCCTGAAAGGTGATGTGCGGCTCCCTGGGCAGAATCATCCAAGGTGAAAGTATCACTTAGCTAGTCGAATACAATATATTATAGTATATTATATATCATAGGATATTATAATACATTATAGCATATTACAATATGTTGTAATATACTGTAGTATAATATAGTTTATTATAATATATTGTAGTATATTATAGTACATAAGAGGAAAGTATCACTGAGGGCCACAGCCCCTAGTCAGTAGTCTGTCAAAATCTCTAGGCAGCAGGCCCAAAGGTTGTAGGGCCCCTGCCACTGTTGCAAAAATTTGCAAGTTACTGGGAAACCAAGGTTTCTGGAAACCTGCATTGGGCAGGGCTGCAGAACATATTACTAGTTGCTGAGTTCCCTGGCCCGAAAAAGGTTAACCTTTGTATGATATTAGGACTATAAATGCCCCAAAAGGTTAAAGGTTACCTACCCAGCTACTAAGTACTACTAAGTAGTAGGCAGAATCAATCCTTTGCAAGGCGAGTGCCACAGCATCCATTGCATTTGCATTCAGGGATCCCCCACTAGGTTCAGGAAATTTGGCTCTTCACTCGCCAGAACAACAGCAGTCGTTCAGCATAGCAATAACAACAGTTATACCAGGAAAAATGGATGTAGTAGCAATAGCAACAAATACCAGTCACGATAAAACCATTATGCAGCAAGCCTTCGAAGAGCTAGTGGCTAGTTGCATCGCACAGAACCAAATGAAAACATCTGGGATCCGGACTGACTGATTTTTGATGAGAAAACCTTATAAGAAGCATCTAAAAATACGGTTCTCGGCAGCGAGAATGTTCAACGTGGAATTCTGGGTTGTCATGATTAATAATCATTGTGATTTCTTCTGGCACCCAGACATCACTATAAAAACTTCCTGTTTAATAGTAACCGAACCAGAATTACTACGCCTTGGCTCCACCACGATTCTGCCTTTCCAAAGACCTACAAGCCACCTGCCAAATACAGAGCCTCCTTCACAGATGGATGACCCAAATCCAAGTACACCCCCATGTGCAAAAGATGTCGCAAAGAGACCTAGTTCAGCCCAAAGCCGGACAACCCAGCCGCTTTACTGCAAATTCTGGGAATCGTGGGCTTGCCAAACAAGCAGGAAACACCCAGCAGGTAACCCGTGTTTCCTGCAGTGGCATGAAGTTGTCGCAGACTCTGCGATCTAAGGATAAGGTACATTCAGGGGACCCAGCATGTGGAAGTAGCAACAAGGATTGCTTTTAGGAGTGTAGGATTCTGTTATCTGATTTGGGACTCCAAGGTCCGGGGCGTAATACTTCGGATTCCACAATTTTAGGCGGAGGGCTCGGGTGTAGGGAACCTGCTGAAGCGAGAGAGTAATGGCCGCTCATGCGTCTCTATGAGAGCCTCCAAACATGTTAGGAGTTGCGGTAGTCTGAAGTTCCCGCAAAATCCAAGGTTTCATAGAGATGCAGCGGGTTGCGCCCCGCCACGAGGCAGGGTAGTTCAGAGTCAGAGCTGCTCAGGTGTAGGCTTTCAGGTTTTACCAAAAGGGATACCAGTACTGTAGGGCATCCTCCACATCCTGGTAACTCTGCGGTAAGTGTCTGCACTGACCGCTAAAAAGCCCAAATCCTTGCAGCTGTAGCTTCAAGATGCGAAATTCTTCACCTGCCACCTGCCCACCGCAATAATGGGTACATACCAAATCCCTTGCCTGCAATCCGGCTGCCCTGATGAATTACGCTTCCAACCACTCCAAACCTGACCTCACAGGCAATCCTGCAGCCTGAAACAAAGGCACTAAGGTGCTGAGGGATTGTACCATCATGCATCAGGACCGAGAGAATGCAACTGCCAAAAGCCTGCGTAAACCCCCACCTCCCCTGCGACCCAAAAATAAAATACGAAAACCTAGCCCTAAATCCTCAACCAAACATCAAATCCTAAAACCGGAGCCCCAGATACCCCAACAGCTCCTGACTTCCACCAGCTCGGCAGATGTCAGGCTGAATTTAGAGGCCAGGATTTCCAGGTCGCCCTGTTTCAGGCTTTCAAGATTTCAGGGTTTTTTTGCACGTCCATAACTTAAGGAGGGATGGTCCAGGGGAGGTAGGTAATCAAGCAATCCGCACTATTTTTCCCCGTCCGAAGGTTCCCTAGTATTTACTCCTTGATGCATGGGGGTTCAGGTGTTGCATTGCGGCTCTGTGCTTTGAGTTGTGGATTGGCAGATTATGAATGTATGGCAGGGTGCATGATGTGGCCGGGCGCAGGGCTGCTGAATGAAAGCGCGGTATGTCCCATCATCTGAAGTGAGCTTTTTGCGTGGTATCCCAAAGGAACATGGCATAGACTGCATCCACGGTTTCTAGCACAAAGAAATACACATATTAGAACCCTGAGAAACATACCACACTGTACACAGTATAGCCCCTACCAGCCACAAACCACAAGATGGTAGATTTCTGCATGCACTCATGAGGTACGAGAAGGACCCAAAACCACAAGACCTTGAAGAGCAGTGCAATACGAATAGACTTCCTTGGCAAACTGGAACAGGAGGCTGTACTTGCTGCCTTAGATCATTCACTGTAGAAGGAACTCTGCACACCAAACCACGTATCATAGCTCACTACTGCCTACCACGTAGAGGAATGGCTGCTGCCATCCATGAAAATCAAAGTCACCCCGGCCACAGCAAGACAGTAATGCCAAGGACATTGACGGGAAGGCCATGCTGACAAGAGTGGAGCCGCAAAATTGCTGGCAGGGTGACAACCATACCATTGGAACTAAGGATGCAGACCCCCCAAGGACTGTCTTGCCCTTTCTGGATGGAAACAGAGCACTGTGCCACCTAAAGCCACAGGTTCAGAATTTTCAAGGTGTTCAGTATCTTGACCACCAACTGCTTGGTAAGCGATGCAGCCCAAAATTTGAAAAGAACCCTGTCTTAGCCAGGATTTTCGCAATCCGATCCAAGGAAGAATGAACTGCCGCTTGACGCCCCAGAAGCCCCAGATGCTATCACCTTAAACCTGCAGCTTGTACCCTTAACCTCAAAAGCCACAATCAATAAGACGCCACAAACCCACTTCCCGCTTCAAACAAAAAACGCCTAGGGCGTATCAACCCAAGATCCCTCAACACACTCAACGTTTAAAACCCCAAATACCCTAAACACCCTAAACCCTAGACCCTAAACCCTCAACCCCAAACCCTAAACCCTAGATCCCAAACCCTACACCCTAAAACCCTGAACCCTCAAAAGCGGAGCCTCGAGGTCATGCCTCGCCAAAGCAGAGAGCGACCGCAACCAGGGAGGCGAAGCTCGAAAAGTGGCCTACAAAGCGGTTTGGGGTTTAGGGGTTTAGAGGTTTAGGGGTTTATGGTGTTTAGGGTATTGAGGGTTGAGGGTTTAGGGTTGGGTTCTCGAAGCTACCCCTAGGGCTTGAGGAGCCTGATAAGGTTCTCAAAACAAGGGATTAAAACCATCACACCAAAAGCACCTATTGAATAAGGATTTAGAATTTAGGATCTACTGACAAAGCAAGGTCGCTTGAGGATATCCCGTCTGAGAGCCTATATGGAACTCCATTGGAAAAGAAAATGGAACATGAAATTGAATGTGTCTGGGCTTTAGAGTTTAGGGCGGGGTTTCTCAAGATGGGAGCCCCAGGGGACCCAAAGGGACAAAAAGGTGCGAAGAAGGGGCTCATAGGGGGATTCTCTAGGAATTGTTTTGGCAAATGTACATGTGGTTTTGGATCGGAAGGGCTTGAGCGATTGAGGGATTGAGGGTTTAGGGGCTTCAGCTTCTTGAGTTTGGAGTTGTTGAGGCCTCCTCAAAGTTTGATCAGGCAAAGAGGGTTTTAGGATGTGGGGTCTAAAGCAGACAACCCTACACCCTGCACAACTACGTAATGTATGCCTGTCGTCAACTCGCTGCTCTGAGTACGCATCTTCCTTACTCTACTTACCTTCGTCGCACCGTTGAAGCCCCTTTAGTCTAGGTTGAGATATGAATGATCTGCAGTTTAAACCGCTTAAGCCCTACATGACCCCTAGAAGATGGTTGGTTTCCACCCTGGAAACCAAAAAAACTCAACAAGGGCCACATGTGATTGCCCAAACCCCAAAGCCCCCCTGAACAACGAACCTATAGAGCCCTGGTTTTGACCTCTAATTAACCCTCACCTCTAGATCAATAAAGCTTTAGCCTTGAATGCCAAAAATCCCAAAACCTGCCCCGGCGCCATCTCCCAAAAAGCTCATGTCCAAGAAGAACCTGCAGAAAACCCATATGCCTCCCTCAACCCTAAACTGTTCAACGTAAACCCACTCAATCACGAAAACCATCCGCCTGTTCTCCATGCGCCTCCATATCGAAGCCACTGGGCCTACCATGTTGCAAAGTGTAGGGATTGCAGTTCTTTGTTTTTAAGGGCTCCGTTTCTCTCGCCTGAGCTGCAGACATGTCTTGCGACAGAGCCTACTGGCCGGGCACACCGGCAAGCATACCAAAAGCACCACAAAAAAAAAAAAGCAGACAAAATGCCTGACAGTTTCATAGAAAACTGTACTACTACCCTTCCTACCTTGCTGTGCCACAACTACCAAGTCTTCACCTGCATCATGATCCTCATTCTCTGGAAGATGCGCTTCTTGTCGCTGATCAACTGAATCGTCATGCATGAGAGGGAACACCACACGACGTAGCCACCACATCCCTTTCTGTTTCCGTCTGGTCGGCATTGTCAATCGCTACAGCATCCGTCGCCTTCAGACCCTCACCCTCGACACCATGTCTATCCGAAGTCGGGATGTCTAGCGTGCTGTAGTCACCAGTCCACCAGGGACTGCAGCTCAGGGCCTGGGGTTCAGAGAGGGTATTAAGGGTTGGGGCCAGAAACGACCGTACGCAGAACCCTTCTAGCCCCGCTAATTTCTGCCTGATCTCGCTTGCAGCTTACTACACAATGTTCTCTAAGGGCCCATCTCTGGTTCAACCCGAGCGTGCCAGAATTGTTCATGCGTTTGGTCATGCGTTAGCCTCTTCGACGCGGCAACACACTGCAAGGGTAGGAAGACGTCTACAGTGGACATGTGCTATTGGATTCCCAAATCCTGGGACCTGGAAGAATCCAAGCAGCCGCGTTCTCCTACATGTGAAAGTAAGGTGACACAACCTTGGTATCTCTGGCGGGCCGCTCGTAAGCCGATAAAAGTGAGGACTGATAAAAATTCATCGCTTGGCATTGCTTGTAAACACTTCGCAGAGGGAAGAAAAAAAGGTGCCGTCATATACATAAACTGCTCGGACTACAACAGCATGGCGGAAAGATTATAACAAGGTCATAATCAGATTGTGTAGGGAAACTTCGAAACCTCTCAAGAAATAGTCAGGGCTCTGCTTTACTGTCCGTGAAAATTGGAGGACTTCTTGCTTCATCAGGACCAGCCAAAGGGATCCACAACCTAAACTTTCTCCTGACCCCTAGCCTTAGCCCTAAACCCTAATCTCTTAACCCTTCACTTTAGCCCCTAGGCCCTGTCAGCCTGAACCCCCAAAACCCCCTTTCATGTTAGGCAAACCGGCATGGCCTCGCATGCTGGTGCGGATGCGCATGCTGACCTCCGACCTGATCATTCCCAGCACTGGGGCCCAAATGGGCTCTACTCCCCCGGACCAACGTGGGAGCGCAAGAGGGACCCGACAATACTAATATCCTTGCGGCTACATTGGCTTCCATGTGGATTGGGGGAAACCACTACTCAAGATTCAGGCTCCCTTTTATAGCTCCAAGCATCTCCAAACCTTGCTTAAGGGGCATCCACTTAATTACACCATACCTTGGATTGATCCCGAAACGGGAGTTGCTGGGGATGAGAAGTCCTTTGGTCCTTCAAGAAAAAATTGTCCGTGCTAGCGGGTGTGCTTTTGGGCCCCCTTGTTCTGGAAGACCTCGTGCAGAGTGAAACTTGTTCAAGACCTCTCTGTGATGATGCCTAGCTTCTTGATGTAGTTCTGGCACCCTTGTGCCTAACAACTCTGGACTATGTGTTTCGAGGCTTACGACCTTGACAAATCCAGACGAGAGTCATTCTTGTCAACACTCTTAGCCCGTACAGAATTCTAAAAAAAAAGGCTTTGCAAGCACATCATTCTTTTTGCAGACCCCGTTTGCACGGGCCTCGTAGAGTTCCAAGCAGCCGCAGGGTGGCGTCACAAGGCGTGCCTGTTGTTTCTAGATGCGCCATTCACTCTAACTCCTGGCTTGCAGCTAAGGAATCCCAAATGAGTTGCAATCCTGCAGCATGAAAGGGAAAACCAAATGGAAACTCACCATTGTGTGCATTTGTGGTAAATAACACGCAGATTCTCTTCAAGACCTTGCAAGCAGACCTCCATTTTAGGTCTGAAAGAAACGTATAGGCGTAATGTTGGGCAACATTGGGGTTATATATTGGGGTTATATAGGGAAAATGGAAAAGAAAATGGAAACTACTATAATATCCTAGGGATACACAGGGGTTATATCTGTAGTCTGGGAAGCTCCCCAATCATCAAAAACATTCAAGTTGGTTGGAACGGAAGTCTAAGATAATGACAATCTGAACTAGGGTCCTGAGTCATGAACGATACATCTGACAGGTACAAGAAATTACTGATGGTTTGCTAATATTGTGGTTTCTTTGAGTCGAACTCCCTCTAAAGTCGCATTTAGAAATGTATCTAGAGCAAACACAGCCCGCCTGAGTTTGAGGATCGCCTCTTGCTTGGATGTTGTAGTCCGCATCTGGGAAGAACATATTGGCATCCTGCCACAAAATGCCAAGGACACCTGGTCTGAGAACTCTATGCCCGGAATCCAAAGAAACCCTTGCTGCACCTCTACTTCCTCGACAAAACAGGACCTCTACTACCATCATGCCAGGAGGGTGAGTCTTGTGAAATGGTCTACCTGAAAACAGCAGACGCTCCTGAAGCTGGCGATGCACGGATATCTGGTAACTTCTCGAAATTAGGGGTACCTTTTGGGGGCCCCCATAAAGAGGATTATAATATTTTCGGGTCTATATCAGGAACCCTTTTTTTGGGGAAAGTACCATCTAGACTCAACGATGCAGGCATGGGGTCCTTGGTACCTCCCCACTGCTTCTTCTGCTGCTCCACGCCAAGCCTTGAACTTGAATTTCATAATCACCGTAGATGGGAGAAATTCTTCACACTAGCTGAGGTTTCAGGCACGATTTGAGGATTGGTAGGCAGCACAGGAAGCTCAGCACCAACCACCAGCCTCCCTTGAATGTTCAGAACTTTCCGCATCATGACTCTTATGATCTGAAAGGAAAGAAGAAGGTGATGCATCCCAATAGGAGTCCCTATGCTAGCCCCATGAAAAATCTCCCTGTCCATTCCGCCATTCCTAAACTCCATGTTCATTCCCTATGGATGACAAGAGTGATTCGAAGTCATGCGAGCTCGCCCTAACCCTAAACCCTAAACTGAGCAGCCCCTCAACTTACTGGGGGTTAGCAGGGAAAAGGGAATATATTATATAGGGAATAAGTAGAGGCTCTATTCCCTTATTCCCTACTAACCACCACTTTTCCTCAACCATGTCTCAGACTTTTGAGTTAGCAACAATGAAAATACATGGGGATTTTATTCCCCTATTGCCTACAAAGAACAATGTCCCGGACTTTGAGTTCGCGGCATGAGGTCTTCGTACGCCCGGCTGGCTGTGTCAGCCGTCTCCTTCACTCGCCCGTGACAGCAAACTATGTGCGAGATTCCCAAAATTAGGGCTACCTTGTTGGGGGTCCCCGTAACAAGGGTTGCGGTATTTTGGGGTCTATATTGGGGTCCCCCTATGTTGGGAAGCTACTATGTGTCTTTTGCATATCCTGTTAACATGTTTCCAAGCTTGTATATAATAAGTTGTCAACATACGTCCAATATTTTCGCTACCACAAAATGCCCAGAATTTTGACACATCCCCCCATATAGGATCCTGCTTCTTTAGCAAAGTCCTAGGCAGGGCCAAATCCCGAAGCCATCAACCCTAGGCTCTGAACCCTAAAGCCTGTGTCAAAAATCCCAACCCCTCAACCCTCAACAAAGAACAGCCCTCATCCTTGAATCAAACCCTCCTCCCTAATGTAGACCCATGATTAATAAACCCCTTCCTTTTAAGGGCCTAAATATTAGCATCCCTATTATAATCCCTTTTGAGGGGAGGGGGTTTATTAATCAGGGGTCTACATTAAGCTGCATCCTTGGACCCCAATTCCTGGATCTTCAAACCCTAACCCAGGTAACCCAATTGCCCGTTGCAGATCCTGCTCTGGCGCGGCCAAAAGCTCATCCATGGCCATACGGAAGTCATTGAGCCGTTCCCTCGGAATTAGGGATTTGAAGTGCTGATGGTCTCGGGTTTAGGGCTTCAAGTTTTGCGAGCATCTACACCAAGGGTTCACCCAAGACCTAGACCCTGAAAACCCATCCACTGAAACCTGGACACCAGAGGCCAAGGACCCCTCATTATGGAAAGCTCCGCATGCGGTTGCAAATGCTTCCAAAAGCCATCATGAACTGAGCCGCCAACATGTCCCCCGGACCCCACCAGCCAGGGGCGAAGGAAAGCACCATGGGCCGGGCCTCAGCGTGTTAGGGGGTTCCGGTTCAGAATTACAGGTTTAGGGGATAAGAATCTAAATTTACAGTTTGAAGGGTTAGGTCCACGTGGCTAGGAGAGTAAACCCTAAAACCCAAAACCCCTAAACCCTAAACCCCTAAACCTTTGAGTATCCCGGGTTCAAGCAGCGGCCTCACCCGAAACCATGTGCTTGCCTAAATGTTCAACTGGGCTGTTGTTAGGGAACTCATTTCAAGTTACTTTATTGGGAAAACCTATTAATTTCTTTATATAGATACCCATTATGGTAACCCTAAACCTCAAACCCTATATACCCTATACACCATTATAATACACCCTGTATCTACCCACTATGGTAACTTAAATTAAGTTCCTTGAGCGCAACCCAGTCAAGCTGATAGCTTGGGCGGTCAAGCCAAGCACCAACTGCAGCTACAGTGCAGCTCTTCTCTTACTGGAGGTTAGTCAGGAAGAAGGGAATACATTATATGGGGATTATATAGGGATCATTTTCCCTCATTCCCTACAAACCCCCAGTAAGTTCTCTTATCCGGAAGATCCTTTACGCAGCCCCCAAAAAACAGAACATCGGACAGATGCCGCCAGTGTGTGCCTCCGATCCGTCCAACCTCCTAAAACGAAATTGTATCGCTGCGTGCAAACGCCGCGATAATCCCAGCGTCAACTTCACCTTCGATATTTCCCCTCGTTGATTCTCCACGATTCCTCAACATTGAAAAACTAATCAATGCCATCGTTTCCATGTCCCAGCTTATTGCTCTTGAAGTGTTGCATCATCTTGTTGGCCATGCATAAGCCCATCCCGGCGGAACCCGCGTAGGCTGGAAAATAGCTAATACTCTGCCAATGACACTCAACCCTGCAACCCCTGTTATTAGACATTCCCATTATATCCCATTATAATGTCTCTGTTTGTGAATGTGGAATCATCCCACCCCCTCTGATAAAGATCTTTTCACGCTTCCCGCTGGCAAGGGGTCTGCTGCCATCTAAACTGGGTCAGTGCCGGACAGTGCTTAAAAAGGTCATAGGAACAAGGCCCCAACAGTGATGCTGATGGTACTTGCGAGAAGAACAAGATGTATAGCAGCAATAGTAACTCAAAATCGCAGTGCCAAACTGCATCTAGCACTTATCCAGTACATGTATGTACAGACCTGCGAAGAACTCTCTCTTCGAGAGCTTCGGAACTTCCCAGGCGGTAAAAAAATTGATGAACTTTGGGAGACGAAGTGGCGAGAGTGCGCCTTGTGCCATTGAGGTCTTCGGGCTTTTAACCTGAAAGCCCATCTAAGGGGCGGGCAGAAGTTCCGTGGTCTAATGTTCAGGCATGTGATGTATGGTTATGAGATAGGATGAGATGAGGCGCGCTATGGAGTCGCTTCACCACGCCACCTCTTCCACCACGTCATGAATGTCTGCAGCTCATTGTGAGCTGGCACTCGATCCTGCCCCCGTTTGGGAGGCCGGAGAAGTCGAATTTCATGAGGTAACGCAGAAAGTTGAAATCTTGGGGTCTAGGTTGTATAACTTCTGGCCCATTGCAACTCCAAAGATAGGGAGGGACAGAGAAGACCTAAGAGCTATGGTCACGTATACGATCTAGTTCCATATGACTGCAGAGGCTGGCTGATTAAGCCGACAGCATAAGCTAGGCTGCTGCTAAGGAACTTAAATTGAACGGCTTTAATGGGTATATGTAAAGTAATTAACATGGTTCCAAAATTATAGCACCCGAAATTAAAATCCTTAACAGCAGCGCAGTAAAACTTTGGCCAAATTCCAAGTATAAGTATCTGGTGGCTGATCATAATTTCTAATTTCTCAGCAAGGCCATGGTAAAAGAACATGATGTCCCATCTATTTTCCCTTAAGCAACCAGGAGCTCTAACGATTTCCCCAAAGGACCTCTAGATCAACCCTATGTTGTTTGCGGATGTTGTCGGACAGTACCCTGCTGCAGCACTTTTCATAAAACTTCTGCACTGAGTCATGTGCTCCATGTGGGCTGGTACATGGGAGGAGGTGTTTCCAAACTTGCACCAGTAAATGAGGATTGACGAGCACTCTACAAGGCTGAATCAGCCGAACACGGGCCCAACTCGCAATGCATCCCTTCCCAAGATGCCTATCCTTTCCAGGGTACGCCCCGATAAAAAAATAAATAAATCCTAAATAGTAGCTGACATGTCATTGTCCTTGACCCCTACAAATTCCCTGCATGAACTCTCTATAACCCCATATCCCCAAAATCCTGTTCAACGGGTCAGCTCGATACTGGAGCTTTCAGATGATGATGCGGAGGATGCTGCCTTCAGGTTCGCGTTTCGGTTTAGGGTTTAGGGGGATTCCGAGGAGAGGGGGGGGTCCCCATGATAAGGGTTATCGTATTTTGGGGTGTATATTGGGTCCCCTATTTAGGGAAACCACCATATGCAAGGATGTAAGGATTCCGCTCAGGAAGGAGAATGGTGTGGTCATGAATCTAAACATCTGAATGCAATTGCACCCCCTCCAGATTGGGTGATGCGTATTGTATGGTGCCGGGTATATTGCGAATCACTCCTGCAATCCATGATGGCAACTGTCAGGGGCTTCAGGCTACAATGTGATGAAAGGTCTAGAAAGTTTTTGCATTCTTGCCTAGCTGGTCCCTAGCTGGTCTCTCTGCGTTTGGCATGTGCTGTGGTCGCTTGATGTGTTTCAAGCTTACGATTCAGTTTTAGCGCTCCTGAGACCCTAAACCCTTAACACTTCACCCTAAAACTTCACCCTGGGAGCCTTTGGCCCTGGTAACCTTCGAACATGGAGCACATAAATCCCCATATGCTGTCTGAATCTACATTTGGTCCCTATGGAACCCAGCAAATTCCGCTGGATGTCTCTAACCCACGCTTGAACAGCACACACATGATGTAATGATGTTATCAACAAGGCGGCACATATTTTTGAGCACCGTAAGGAGTAGCATCACTGTACTGGCAACCTTTGTCTAGCACGAGCCTCCTCATCCCACTCGTCCAGCAGCCTTTTCGAAAAGAGGTTACTGCTGAGTCTTTGATAGAGCCTGTTCGGGAGGTTCTTGTGTTGTGGGCACTTTTGCGGGGTCCTCAGAATAAGCATTCCCATTTCTTTCCGGAATACATGCGGGAACACTACTCCCAAAACATGTACTTGTGAAAGGACGTCAGAACTTATTATATGAAAGCGTTCTGAGCATTTGATAAGAACACCATAAAAGCCCATGGCGCCATGCAGTTCCTGTTTGGAAAGTGGTACACGCGCAGAAATGAAGCCGGCTCCCCAAAATGCCTAGCTTAAGCTTCTAAGCCGTTGTGTTTTGGCAAAGCCAGTTTTGTGTGGTTTCCACCCTGCTTTGTTGCTTTGTGTGTCATGCAGCTTCTTGGAGATATTTCAGGATCTCTGTCCTCACACAGGCATGCCGCATGGGTCAAGTCCTTAGTAGTCACCCACCTTGCATTGCTCTGGTCACGAACGATAGTCGAACATTCACTCCCAAGCCCTTGGACAAAATCAACCGACCCCAACCCGAACCCTGCATCAGCCTGTTGGATATCCTATGTTCAAAGCCTTACCACCAGCCATGTCTTCGGCCGCCCCAAGTATTGGCTGGAAAGCTAGGTTGAAATTCCTAGGCCCTAGAGCCTAGACCCCAATCCCCCGGCTCGAATCTCCCTAACAGTTCCTGGCGACAACGCCCCAAACATCTCCCCCAACACCAGAGGTCCTCTGCCCCCATGAATCTATCCTAGCTAGCTATGCTTATGGCATTTCCAAGCATGTAAGTACTTCATGGCACTTCCAGGCATGCGCTGAATCGCCCCATACCTTTCGCCCCAAATCCTGCCCTATATCAAGACAAGCTGCTTCTGCAGCTCATTGGTGCGGCAGTAACAGCTGTTCTGCGATGGGCGTAACAGTCTAGACTAGGGGCATTAGCAACGGCCAACGCAATTACACAATAACTACTATCCAACTGTGACTGAGTGGGGGCATTGTCCAAAGCATTGGGCTCTTGGGTTTGGGGTGAAAGGCTTGGGGTTTGACTTTAGGGTGACGGGCTCTGACTATAGGGCTTGAGCATGAGTCATCAAAGGTGTTGGGCTTGTCTGGTCCAGAGTTTAGGGATTGTGTTCGGTCTAGGGTTCGAGTCATACATCAATCTAGGTACATCAAAGAGATCTTGAGACATTAGCTGGGAAGCAATGATGTAAATCTACGCAAAGGAGGCATGAGAGTTTCCGTGTTTATCCATTAACAGGCGCAAAACATGGAAACCGCAATATTATGGCAGCTTGGCATGGAGGTCGCTCATTGTGATTTGAGTTCTGCGGGCATTGGGCTTCCTGGTAGGGAAGTTGGATTCTCATGCCTTGGGCTTCAGGCACCGAAGCCCTAACGTGCGCTCGAAAGTGAATGCTTGCATGGGGGCTCTCCAAGAATGAGGAGCCCATGCTGGCAAGTTTCTATCATGAAGATTGTCATGACTGCTGCTATACAGGAGGACCCCTATGCCTGACAGCTAGAATATGGGGTAATCTTAGGGTTATATGGGAATAATGGAAAAGAAAGTAGAAACTACTACAATGGGTTATATAGGGTATAGAATAAGGGGTACACAGGAGGACCCCTATGCCTGACAGCACTCCCAGAATCTTTCTCATCTTTTAGCTTCAGGGTCGAAGTAGAAAGAAGCAACTAGGCGGGGAAACTCTGGAAGTTTATATCTGCATAGGGAATGTATATTACATGAAATATTACTGTTGTCTGTAATGGTTGCTATAATGGGCAAATTTGATATTACCTTGTTATGGCATGGGCTGTGCCCTCTAGCCAGAAACCCTATAAACCCCTGTATCCTACCAATTTCCATCTCAATCTCCATCTTGTATCCCATTTGATTCTCCATTGGGCCTTATATCCTCCAAAAATAATTCAAAACATGCCCATATAACCCCCATATAACCCCGCATACCCCTACACCCTATGTATAACCACACTAGAATTGAAGCCGCCTTCCTCCAAATCAAGAAGACAGATACAGCAGGTGAAGATGAAACTTGATGCATGGATCCAAAACAGGATGCGCCAGCTTCCTAGTACCAGCCATAAGATTCAGGGGTTCGGCTTTAGGGTTTAGGGCGCTGTTTGAAGATCGATCCCTCCCAAACAACGTTTTTATCCTTCCCTTAAGCTAAGCTCTACACTGCGAGCCCTCATTAAGGAATGAGGGCGAGATCCCCAGCACACAACAAAACCCTGGCCCTGGACGCGCAAGCAAGCAAGCTCGAACTCCAAAGCTCTTCTCCGATTCCTTGGCCCGCCCCAGACCTTACTTCCTCATGCACTATTCCAGAGACTTGTCCTCAATGCCATAACCATGAAATCCCTCCGCCCCTTTTTCTATCTCGTCACCAGCGGGGCTCACAGCAGAAACCAGAGTTGCAACGTCTGGGCATCGGTCCTGATTCGGGGGAGGAAGGTAAGGAGCTCCTCTTGGAAAGCTCTAAGGGTCTTGTTCGGCCGCTCTTCAAGTCTTGTTGGGTCAGTCCTGGAGTTTCGGCTGGGGCTTTCTGGCGGGGTATCAAAGCCAACCATATCCCCTCACATCTGCAATCCTAGGAAATGCGACTTGAACCGCAAACCCTCGCCCCCCCAAATTTCTGCGCTTCCTCCACGCCCCGAACACTAAGACCATACAACACTCATAAAAGCATCGATAATAAGAAGCATCGATAATTCTGAGATTTTAGACTTAGTGTTAGGGTCTCTCTCTCTCTCTCTATCTATCTATATATATATATATGCAGAATGATGCCGATAGCGATCACAATGAGGACAATTACTTTCACAGACTTGAAAGCAAAGAAAAGTGTCTCTGGTATCACACGTACACACCACAGACAACAACCTGTCAAAAATGAATAGAGACATCTAACGAAAGAAACTGACTAGAAACTGTTTTAAACATGAATCCTACACTCAAGCGGTTACAAAATGTGCAATCTCTTGGAGACCTGCAACAACCCAACTGTAGCAAAAGTCCTTAACCGCCAGTACTAGTACTAGCCTGGCAGTACGGGAAACGGTACCATCAGCGGACTCCCAGCCAAAGGCAGCAAAACTCATGACTGAGCAGACAGAATTCTCCATCCAAATCGCAGTTGGAAGCAGCAGTAGATGACGAGAGCAACAGCAGCAGCAGCAGCAGCAGTAGCAGCAGCAGCAGCAACAGCAGCAACAACAAGGACAACGACGACCACGACCACGACCACGACCGGAGCAGCAGCTGCATCAAAAGTCACAACATTTGTGATCTTAATCAGGAAGCACAGCTGAAGATGAAACTGGCCAGAACAATACAAGCTACTGCTGGGAAAATGAATATTCGCAGCACTAGCAGTCTCCCAGCTGTGTGCAGAAGACAGCAAGTGATGGATGGCCTCCCAACTTTCTTCCATGCCCCAGGTGATGGCCGAAGCTAGTTTTTCGAGGCAAGTCGTGGACAGTTCCTTCCGTGCCATGGAGCAAACTGTGTAGTTAGGCGGGGTGGAGGGTTCGGGTGTTAGAGTCCAAGATTTCAAGAGAGGTTCTGGGTTAGGGCAATTCACCAGATTGTTGGCCCCTTCCCGGAGGGTGCCCCTGCAAGACAACACGTACACCATATTTTTGGATACATGAGTGGGACCCCCAAACCCAAAACCCTAAACCCCTAAACCCTAAACCCCCAAACCCCTAAACCCTAAACCCTAAACCCCAAAACCCCAAAACCCCAAAACCCTAAACCGCTAAAAACTAAACCTTCCTACAACTTGCTGGGTGTCGAGCCTTCCTTTTCTGGGGTCGACCTTACTGGTGTTTATTTGTGGAACAAGGGAATAGGGTTTAGGGTTTAGGTACGCAATCCTTATATATTGTATTCCCTTATTCCCTACTACACTACGACAAGCCACTAGCTCGTTATGGTTAGATTTTGTTTACACCCTTCCAACTTCCAGAGATTACAAGTTTTTCAATGTAAGCTGTTACAGAAAGCGGTCGTTTGCATGAAGAGCTGCTTCTTTGCTTTACCTCGGGAAGAAGCATCCAGTGCTGTCCAGCTTTCATTCCCAATAGCTCAGGACTAGTTGTCGGTGGGCAATTATTAGAATGAAGTGCGGCTGCATGGAAATACTGCTCCCGAAAAGAGGGAACACCGAAAGGGGACTCTGAATATGAGATCCCCATATACCAAACTAGAATGAGCACCACTGTACGAGCCTATAACAAGGGCCATGCATGCTTGGAAACTTCACATTAACCTTGCTGACGGTGCCCTTGGAAGTACTGCCCTCTGTTGTCCAGGGAGGGGTGGCTCTACAAAGACAGAGGCATACCAACACTGCCAATAAAATTGATTAATCTTGAGTCTTTGGGGATACCATATATATATATATGCTGTGAGAAAAGTGGTCATTGGATGAGCCCTTCAGGAATTACAAGTAGAATGCTGCAAAGTACTCAGTCTTCACCTTACAACTCATACTAGCCTACGTCTGAGATGCTCAGTCATTCTGCCCCAGGAGTGACTCCCTTTTGGCTATCCCCATCTACTGTGACCGTTCATACTGTTACCTATGTTCACTATATTCACTCCCCTACCTACTTACCCTTTAGCAGCAGCAGACAGGGTATCCTCCCCGGCCGCTTGTTGCAGCTGCGCCTGCCGCGGAGATCACGAGGATGCAAGAGGGCCAGAGGAGCTTGAATAATTGGCAGTGGGGTCTTATACCAGTACCGCAGTACCACACTTCCCGAAGAGCAGTATTAGCTGAGCAACTGTCGAAGAAACTTGCTGATGAGTAGAATTGTTGACGGGAACTCTTAATGACATGTGGTGACGCACACAGTGAGCACTATAGCGGAGAAGGAAGAAGAAGGACGCGCGAGTCTCCCCACATCATGGGCACAACGGTCGTACAGCTTCATGAACAGCCGCGTGTATCAGGCAACACAGTTCCTTGTGAATCCAAATCTGGGGCAATGAAGGCGCAGGTTCTAGAGTCAATGCCCGGCAGACACTCCAGGCCATACTATATCTTGAAGGGCTTACGCCGAAACTAGTGCGCACTGGCATGCCAAAAGGACACTTCAGCCAAGCCAGGACTGCTTCAGCTACAGGAATTTAGGCATTCAAGCTTGACACAAAACCCTCAGCCGAAATTGCTATGGCTCTAACGGGATGTAACAAAATAGATTCGAGGATTCACATCCAACTCTTAATGGAGATCTGGCTTATAGTAACGTCGAAGATTCCGCGACCACACCCATGTCAATCTGTTCCGAAGACCTTGCTCCTGACTCTACTGAACCACCAAATGCCAGGCCCTGCCAACAGCTGATGTCCCAGCCCTACCCCCAAGATCTGGCTACCCTACATGGTAGGCTGTCAAAATTGCAGTCATTAAGAGTTGAGGGTTTAGGTTTTAGCCTGGTAGAGCACGGCCGCTAATATCTAGGGTAGTCCGAAACGCACCGTACTTTTGACAACCACCCAGATCCGCCCTGTGGCCTTCACAAGCTCCGGCGTTCGATCCGGCAAGCCTTTCCTGCGATTAAGGGTGAGCTTTGTTTATGGTATGAGCCACAGTCTAGCAGCATTCCCCATTTTAACCCCTGTATTAGTTCCCCATGTAATCCCTTATCCACACCCTTTTTCGGAATCTAGATTATGGCTCGTATGGTGTCGGAAGCATGATTCTCAAGCCCATAGCGACTGAAGCCTAAGCCGGGCATCCCGAGATCCCTACATAGTGTCCACAGAACCCCTATATAACAGCCTCGACCTACCCTAGATCCTCTTGTCCCCCTGCTCTCATACTCATGTCCACTCCGTACCCGAACAAGACACCTCATATACACACTGACAGTTTCGGCCGCTGCTTTTGCCATCCTCGCAGGGCCCTCAGAAAAGCGTTTTCCAAAAATTGGGGTTTGCTAGGGAGCTCTCAGGAATGAGAAGGGGGCAGAGTGGGGTTTGAAGATCAGTTTAGGTTTAGAATCCAGGGTGGTTTTGAGTATGGGACAGCTTCAAGCAGGAGCCATCTGGAAAGGCCCCTGCCACATCTGACAATGCGCATACATGTGCTGTGGGCAGAGCTTCTTTCGAGACCCTAAACTGTAAACCCTAAAGACCTTCAGCCTTTCTTTTTGAGCAGCGTCTTTCAAGACTCTGGGCTCCCGAGGAATTTGCAATCAACCCCCGCCTTGGAGGATCCTGCCTTATTCTTACTGGGGGCTAGCAGGGAATAAGGGAGTAGATCATAGCACTTAGGGTTTTAGGATTTAGGGTTTAGGGTGTAGGGCGATTATGTGGGGATAATGGAAAAATGGAACTGCTATTTGGGCTTAAGCGTTGAGGGTTAGTAGGATATAAGCAGTAAGGCAATTCAAAAGTAGTACCTTGTTTTAGTGGTAAAATTTAGGAGCTTGTGCAGAAGCTCCAAGCTCCAGACCCTTATCCCTTCAACTTCAACCATTGAATCCAATCCTCAGTCCTATCTTGTCACGCACGAACCATACGCCCCAAAGCCTCAAGCCTAAAACTTGAGCTGCAGCATCCACACGCTCCTAGTGCGCTTCAGGAGGAGCCATAGCAAGGTCGAAGCGCAACCTAGGCTGTCTTGAAAGGCACGGGGAAGAAGCACTCAGTGGGGTTTCCACACAAGGCTTTCTGAGAAACATGATGGGATCTCGGCAGCCCCTAAATTCGGACCCAATTCTAATCATATTGATAGCTCCGGAATCCTAAATTGTGTGGACTGGGGTGACCCAAACCCTCTCGTTAGAGAATTCATCCTGCGCTTCCACGAGGCTTCCCTGAAGCTACTTCTGGCAGAATGCTTGGATGAAAGGCTTTAAAGTCTCTATCCATGATACAACAACTTCTGATGGAGGTCTCTACTGACGAAGGTCTCTACTGATGGAGGTCTCCATTGAAAACATGGCATATTCTTGAGATCCAGTTTGGAAGACTGTCAAGGTGCGTCGCCACTCTCCATAGGCTGTAATAATCAAGAATTTAATTGAACCCTTCATCGGAACCAGGACCCTCGAGACATGAAATGGAAACTGAGTTTTTCAGTGGTTTAGTATAAGGAGCATGGATTGCAGAGGCCGAATGATTTCAGGTCTATTTGAAGTACCCTTTACTATAATAATACAAGGAACCCTGACCTCCGTATTGGCAACTTCTTAGGCAGCTACATTACCCGCCGACAAAAAAATTGAACCTTTAACCAAGCCTTACAACCTCAAAATTTGGCGTTTAGGGTCACTTTAAGGCTTTCGATCCAAACCGTTGTCCTCAAGCCACATCCCCAAATCTGCTCCTACCCGCTATTTATACGGCTTGCCAGTAACACGACGTGCTTACCAACCCCAACTTCTCACCAAGGGAACCGAAGACATCGCTCTGCGGTCCAACTCGGCCCTGGACCAGCTCTGCAGCCTCCAAAAATTGGGATTTTAAGGAACGAAGCTCTCCAAACTTTGGTAACTTAACTTCTTAAGTTCCTGCGCAGCAACCCATAAAATGAACTGTTTGGGGTCAAGGACGTAGGCTGAGGATTTGAGGAGCTCGGGGGTTCAGGAATGTGGTGTAGCGCTTGAGGCTGGGTGTTTGGAAATGAGCACAAGTCAAGCAGCTAAGGCTTGGGGCCCACACCCAAGCGGCTTGAGAGTTTCAAGTTAGAGCGTCGGGTTCTTTGGACCTGCGCATGTTTCCTTATAATAAGGTGCTTCGAATCCGGCCCCGCAGACACTCCACTGGCACGGATGCGCTTCAAGGGCATTCATGGCCTCGTGCACCCAAGGGGACTTACAGCAAGAAATCTGCTGAAGTTCAATTATAGCTACAGCTACCCTGACTCCGATCACTCGGCATCCCTTTCTTCTTTGACCGTTGGCCGCACAGAAGCATTCCGCCGCGTGATTGCCGGCAAGGAGACGAATACCGTTTCGAACACACCTCATGGTCACTACAATGCTTCACATGGACCCTACAATACAAAGGCCGCGCGCAAGACGCAAACGTAAAGCATGTTCCCAAAACCTGAAACCGGAGCCCCTATATCAACCCTAAACCGCCCCGACCCCAAACCCTAAACGCTGCGCCCGAATGTTTGGCCATATCGCATGAATAATCATACTTGCGTATAAGCCAAGAGGAGTGGTAGTTACAGTACGACAAGGCCCTGGTTCTGGTTGGAAAGGCAGTTATGTCATCAGAAAATTAGGGGTACCTACTATAATGGAGAATCAAATGGAAAAGAAAATGGAAAATGAAATGGAAACTGGGATATACATATATATATATATATGGGATTATAGGGGTTAGGGTTTCCCGAAATTAGGGGTACTTTATTGGGTTTGACAAAAATCCATCCCAAGATGGATCTCTCGTACTCACACTCACTAGAACACGACCGTTGCTATCGTTTTGAAAGTCCAAGGAAACAAGAAAACCTCCAACACGCAAGTGGAAAAACCCTAAACCCGTTAAGGTTGAGATGTGGGTGGGCGGGTTGGGAGGGAACACTCAACGTAAGCGCACACCACAACACACGTCCCGCGTGGTGGTGTACGCGGAACATTGGCAAGCCCTAAATGTTAAACCCCTAAACCCTAAACCCTATATTCTGTCTACTTACGGGGGACCGTACCCTTAAACCCTAAATCCTAAACCCCTAAACCCCTAAACCCTAGACCCTAAAGCCTAGATTCTATCTACTTAAGGGGGACGGTAAACCCTAACCCTGGGAACTTGGGCCTGGAAGTCCCCCCGACGCGAAAGCTTTGGTGCCGAGCCTCCTTCGCTAGGCGCCTCGGGCTGGTTCCTTATCGGGATAATATGGGGGTTTCCCGAAATTAGGGTACCTTATTGGGGGTCCCCATAGCACGGATTATAGTTCAATTATTAGGGTCTACATTGGGGTCCCCTTACTTTAGGAATCTACCATATGTTACTTTAGGAAACTACCATATTGGCTAGCTAAGAATTGTAGAAACTACTGTTTAAAGTTTAGGCTGTAGGGTTGAGGGATATACTACCTCACGAATGGAAAATGAAGCTGAAAGATTGGAAAATGAAATCGAAACTGCACTTATATGGGGCATGGATGCCTTCACTCCAATATCAAACACCCCCCACGACGTAATGTGAAATCTTCGCCCATAAGAGATGCTGTATATTGGGGACACATTTAGGGGTGCGGGGTGTTTAGTATATAAGTATAAAGGGATTAAGAGATATGGCTTTTCATTCCTTATGGGGTGATGGTTGCTTAAGCTTGTCTAAACTGTTGGTTTGGGTGATCTGCGTTGATAGCAGCAGCCCCCCTGACGTGAAGAAAGAGTCCTCGCACAAACGCTGAGTTTCTACTTGTGTAACTAAGTGTGTAAGCTCAAGCCTCTGAAACAACCCCGCGACAATTACGAATGTGAAACACAACAAAACTCAATCAGGAGGCGTCTGTAACAGCAGCCACCCCTAAAGCCTGAAGCCTAGACAGCAGTAAGGCTGAGCATGAGTAACAGGGTTGTTGCTAAGGAGCTTAACTGAAGCTACTTCGGGAAACCTTTGTGTGCAAGCCAGCTAAGGCTGAAGAGGCGCGCTGCAGGCCCAATCCACCAGGCAAGCCTGAGGGGATCAGCATTTTGGGCTTAACCAAGAAAAATTGGTTTGCCTTCCATTCTTAGACGTTGGGGATATGTAGGAAGTCTCTAGGAGTCTCTACGTACTATCGTGGAAGCTCCCATGTCGTGTCTCTGTGTATTGCTTGGGACCTATCGTTGCGTGCGGTTCGGGTTGAGGGTTCCGGGATTATGTGATTTTGCGGCTCGGGGTTGGAGCTGCAAGGGCTTACGATTCAGGACAACGTGCCTTACAGCCCAAAGAGGGACAGCCCCAATATGTCATTGCAAAGAACCTCCCTGTTATCTCTATGCATCATCTTGCGGTAAAGAAGTAATCAGATAAGGAGTGAAGGTAGAGGACTTGAGAAATCCACTTGCCAGCTCATTCTGGCAAAAGCCCGCTCGTCCTTATGTATGAGGCATTTTGAGCGTGCAGTTTGGGGATGAGGCTCTCAAGGGCTGAGGCGGGGGTAGAGTTTCTGCCTCGAAGTGGCCTGCAACTCACTCCTTTGGCTCAAGCAATATTGCTGCTGTGCAGTTCTGCTTGTGCGTGCAAACTTGCATGGAAGTGGTCAACTCGCAGACATATGCAAAACCCATCGCAGCTTGAGAAACCGATGCCTGTTAAAGCCTGAAGCCCTGAACCCTTCTTCAACCAAGCCAGTCACTACAGATTGCGTCCAGGTACCTCGGCTTGAGGATAGGAACGCTCATCACGCTGATGCCCAAACGTGAATTCCTGGCGGGGCGTCTTGTCTCAGAGTACACAGGTCCTTGAGCAACGAACTACCTGATTGTTTGCAAAGTCGAGCTTAAAAGAATTGCGGCTCAGCCAACTACGTAGAAAAAACTATATTATTATAGGGATAATGGAAAAGAACAAGGAAACTACTATACTAAAACGACAAGTCCGGCTTCGTCTTTGAAAGAACTTTGTCATGCCCACGCATTTTCATAAGATCACAACCAAGGCGTGATTCAATCCTTTGAGCCCAATGGCTAGCTGAAAACCATGTCAAACCTATCCACAATGCCATGGGATATATAGGGGTTAGATAGGGATGGACTTTGTAGGGCTTATAGGGGAGAACAAAAGGGTATGTAGTATGTAGGGCTATTAATGGGATATACAGACCAATAATGGAGAGTCACATGGCAGATCAAACGGTACACAAATGACATGGAAACTGGGGTTGCAACATAGGGCTATGTAAGCTATAAACTCCTAGCCTTAATAAGCCCTCTAATAGTCCTCTATTTTCTCCCCTATATAAGCGCCCTCTAGTAAGGATTACCCTGAAGCCGAAGTCCGGCAAGTAAGCCTGAGCCTGTATGATGGGGGGGTTCCGTAAATGGGATGCCCTCTATGGCCTAGGGCCTAGGGTTTAGGGCCAGGGTTTAGGGAGGCCCCATTATGAACCCAAAACTACTATAAGGATTTTGTAGGCACTCCCCATTGAAAGGGCCCCTACTAACTTTCAACCTTCCGCCCTGGGGACTTGATCTTACCCGCCTTCAGAGGAAGATCAACGTCAGCCCCAGACTCTTGTATCTCCTCCCACGGCTGAGGGTTCAACGAACACGGTTCAAGAGAGTGCGATGAAAGGCTTCTGGGTTCTTGGGGGAGCCAATATAGGCCCCAAAATGCTAGAATGGGGATTCAAGAGAGTGCGAGGTTCAGATTTTAGGGGATTCGGGTGTAAAGCTTTCACGTTTAAGCGGCTTTTAAGTGCAAGAAATGTGCTGACGGCAACGCACACAAGTCAGATTGCGGAGGAGCTGTTGGTGTCCAAAGGCATACTGCGCTGAGTCAAGCTCAAAAAGCTAATTCCAAAAAAGGGAAGCATGGCCATGACAAGAGGCGAAAGCACCTGGCTCTGTTGGAAGGCTATACCCTCTACAGCCAGAAGAGTGTGGGGGAGGCGTCTAGGAAGGGTTTCTGTGATGGTGGGGGAAGGAAGCGGCAAGATAAGCCATTCTCATGATGTCTTCTAATCAGGCCTCAAAGCAAATCTCAAGTCGGGGCAGCGGAACAACTTCAACGCTCCTGCTATGAAAGGCTACTTCTTAGCTACCAGTTGTGCATAGCGCTGCGTGCAGCCGGGCGTAGGCTTGCGTGGCAAAATGCTTTTTGTCTTCATGCAAGCAAGATGCCAAGCCAATGTTGTTCTAGGTCATTGTGTTTCTGCCATGCCCTGGAAGACTCACTAGACTAGAAGAAAAGGCTGGGCCGCTTGCCAGATTGACAGCAATAAGGGTTGTGGAAACGCCTCCCCCAAAACAATATCCCGCTCGCTGAAATAACTCAACATCATACCGACGATCTGCTTTGGGCAGGGTTTGAGGGTTTAGGAGCAACTGATCCCTGGGGTGCCCGTAAGCACATTCGCAAAAATGCTTGTGAATTTACGGAGGGGCGTAAATAATACCAACAAACTGTTGAGGTCTATTTGAGGTACGGGTAACCTACATCATGAATCAAGTTGATACCAGACAGAAATCTTGCAGTCAGGCTCTGTCACGTTACATGTCCTCTCTGGACTTAAGCACGCTGATGCAGCATCCTTCCGAAAAGCACCATATGGGGGACATTTTTGGGGGAACCAACCCTAAACCCTAAACCCATCTTGTAAGCAGCTGCCCGTTGCGCAGGCCTCCTGGCAGAGGATGTTCCAGGGGTTCACATCGCAGTGGATGACGCCCATCCTGCCGAGCGCACAAGCCTACTGGCCCGATCACTTCTGAGAAGTTTAGGGTTTAGGGTTTACGGTTTAGGGTTTAGGGTTGTGGGTTGTTTTAGGGTTTAGGACTTAGGGCTACGTTTGGGATCATTCCATCTCCAGCTGAATAGACTGTAGTAGGGATCGAAATAATTACCATGAGGAGAGAATCAAATGGAGAAGAAAATGGAAGATGAAATGGACAGTGGCCATTACTAGCGGATTATATATACAGTCCTGTGTGGAATAACTGCCAATGTTATAAGTCTAGATGCCTTGTATGTAGTACCGGCGAGAGAGGCTTGTACGAGTTTGAGCCTCACTCCGAACCATCCGAAGTTCTGGGCGGGTGCGCTCGTTGGAGAGAACTCCAGTAAGAGGAAATGTGGTTCCTCATAGATGGCTTGTCAAAAGACGCAACAAAAATTGCTTCCTGCCCGAAGCATGGATGACCGAACACCACCCCCCCCCCTCCCCCGCCCCCCCCCCTCCCACCCCCAAAAAAAAAAATGCAATGCTCAAGTATCAAATGTTGAGGTCAGGGCCCCCAACATCAAAATCTGCATTTTCAGTAGGAATCCTTTCCCCCAGTTCTGGCCACTCCCTGATCTTGAGCATTCCCGGTGTCCCGGTGAGTACCTCAACGAAATAACAGGGAAAATGAACCTCAAGGGGACAAGGTCCACGGGCTCAATGCCAACCAGAATCACTACTTCCCGAATCCAAACAGAACCTGTAGATTCATCTTGAAAACAGTTTCTAGCCCGTGAAATGAACGGCTTATTGCTCTATTGCAATGGGCCCTCTGAAACCCTGCATATCTCCGAGTCTATAAGAAGGAGCCTTCGGAATCAGGGCGGCTGCCGCTTTCTGTACCTCCAAACGTGACCTAAGAGGGACCTCGTACAAGAACCTATGCCATCAACAACCGTTAGCACTAAAGGCATGAAACTAAAGACGAAAGACCCCCCAGTCACCCCTAACCCCGTATAGGGTAGGAGCCACATCAGTATCTCTTACCCCAGGACCTAGAAAAGATGCACAAGAACTATGAATCGTCTTGCTTCCAGGTTCTACTATCTTGGCCTTCACCATGCCTAAAACCCAGACCCTAAACCCGCGACCGTGAACCCTAAACCCTAAGCCCTCAACTCGAACCCAAACCCGTCGTCCTGTTTGCTTCCGCCACGGCCTCGGCCACATGGAGCCAAGCCCGCAAGGCACGCCGCCGCAGAGGCGCAGATGCCAGGGCTGGGGCCAGGCCTAGGGCTCTCTTCTAAAGGGTTTAGGGTTTAATAAGGTTTAGGGTTTAAGGTTTAGGGCTCAAGGTTTAGGGTTTAAGGTTTAATTAGGGCTTAAGCTGTAAGGTTTAAGGGCTTATTTGTGGGTTCCGTATATTATGCACGTTATATGCCTGATAAAACCCTGTAAGCCGAATTCAGGCTCATATTTGGGACCCAGCTGACGGATGGGGTTCTGTGTTGGGGGCCCACCGTTAGTACCTTAGATTTCTGGGTCGCTAGTAATGAACTTAAACTTCGGGTTTAGGAGAATTAGGCTTTAGTGATTCAGGGTTTAGGGGCTTAGGAATTCAGAGTTTGGGAACTCAGGGTTTGGGAGTTTAAGGTTCAGGAATTTTGGGTGTAGGAATTTTGGCTCAGCAATTTGGAGCTTACGCATTTAGGGTGTTGGATTTAGGGTTTTGGGATCTAAGGTTTCGGGATTTAAGGTTCAGGACTAGGGATTCAGGATTTAAAGATTTAGAGTTAGCCCATGTAGAGCTTAGGAATCTAAGGTTTAGGGGTTTAGGGTTAGACGGCTCAGGAATCTAGAGTTAAGGATTTAGGGTTCAGGCATTCAGGGTTCGGCATGTAAGCTTGGGATTGTGCGGCCTTGGAATTAGGGTTTAGGATTTAGGGTTGAGGGTTTCGGTTGCCACGATTTAGGGTTGAGGATGCAAGGTTTTCAATTACCACGATGGAAATCAAACCGAGAAATGAAAAGAAACACGAAATCGAAGCTGGGGTTACAGGTTGACTCTGGGCGCTCAATTTAGGTAACCATTAGTGCAGGGACTCCTGAAAGATGACGAATGAATGTGGGGGAGCCCTGGCGTACATGCAAGTGAGGGAACATGCCCTCTGCAGGGACACCGTGCTGGAAACGTAGCTTGGCATGACAGAGAAGCGGATTTAAAAAAATTGGGCTTCTATAAATAGGAGGCCCTAATTCAAACTCCAATCTACTGAAATCCTTGTTAGGTGGGGACGCAGACAGGCACCCTTAATTTCTTGAAAACGCCGATATTGAGATTGGACACCAGAACCGACTCTACACAGCAAGTTCCCACATGTAAGCCCAAGAGCAGACACCAAAGCCCGGAACCCTGAGTCTAACCTGAACCCGAGAACTCCACTCCTGTCTGCTGGGTTGCTGTTAGGGAACTTGGTTAATAAATTTACCATCTTCTGGGTATATAGTAAATAGTTTCCCTATTATAGTCCCTTTTTTTAGTAACTTAGTTTAAGTTCCTTAACAGCAACCGAGTCTGGTCTTGGCAGTTGGCCGGTATCCGGGAGCTTGACGCCTGGGAAGTAGCCTCAAATGCAGGAAAAAGGACCTCTAGGTCCTGTACAAGAAAGGCACACAAGCAGTTGGGGGATCTAGGCTGACCACCTCTCAACAAATCAATACTTGGAGCTACCTAGCTCAGGTTTCTCAAGGTCGGGCATTCAGAGCTTCTGGCTTCAAGGATGCCATGACAGCAATGGTCCTTCGTTATCAATCTGAAATCTTGAAAATCTTGATGAGCGCGCTGCATTCATTTCCATAGCACAAAAACCGAAACCCCAAGGCTGAAGTCCTGGGCCAAATCTAAACGCTAAAGCCTAGGGTCCTCCTCAACAAGATGGAACAACGGCGGGTTAGGAAACGAGCGAACATGATACAGCTTTGGGCCTTTTCCTTCCATCTACGGATTGTGGTAATCCCAAGCCGGACTTTTGTCACGCGGACGCAAGCCGTTGTCAGGTCGCATCGGAGCTCCATACCTGGATGAGATCAGGCAACGGCGAGGGCTGAAACTACAGGACAACAACCTTGTAGAGGCATTCTACAGTGCAGCTCCCGCATGCATTGATGCTGAAACCCTCTGTCTCTGGGTTCTAAGCCGCAAAGCAATTGATAGCTGTCGGGTATATTATGGCCCCGCCAAAACTGGACACCAGATATGTACAATCACCAAGTAATATAAACTCACCAAGACAATGATAAAAGCACTTTTTCATTTGTACTCTAGTCACTGGTCTAAACTCCTTAGAGGGGGTTATATGAGGGGGATTATATAGGGGGGTATTCTAGGGCTTATAAAGGAGGATACTAGGAGTTTAGACTATAGCTCATGAAGGATTCAGGCAAAGGACCTCTTAAGGCCAGGAGCCTTGGGTCTGAAGGTCCACAAGGGTTCGGGTTTAGGGACACAAGCTTTAACCGGGCTGCTGTTGAGCATCATAAGTTCAGTTACCATAACAAGGAAATCGTACTAATTCCAACATATTCATAAAGTGGTAACTTGATGTAAGCTCCAGAACAGCAGCCCAGTTAAGCTTCAGGGTTTCAGGCTCAGGGTGGCGTATTTCTTGGCCTTCCTCTCCATGGGGAATCTCCCAGGGCTTCTGAGGAGGTAGTTGCACCCTAAACCCTAAACGTTACTGACACAAAGGCTCAGTCTGATTGTGATTTTCATGGGGTGGTTAAGGGGTCAGGGACACGAAATGGCAACAGTTCCAACAAGAGGTCGACTCAGGGGGCTTCCAAAAACGCTCTCGGGATTGCCGAGAAACGGCAAAACGGCCCAACTAGTCAGTGGGTGTGCAGCAGTACCACTGCGTGCAGAATTTGCGGGACAGTTTCTTCTACGCACCCATATTGGGGCAGCTGCAAATGCTGGACGATAGTTGTTCTAAGACAGATCGTGCAAGAACTCTGAACAAAAGACCACCTGATACAGCCTTCAAAAGTTAAGGCTTGGGGACTGGATTTGCACAATCCTTGAACCTCACATCTTGACTCTCGATACCCAAGCCGGAAGCACAAAGTCTGGAACCACTTGAATCCGCACCCTCAAAATGACATGCAATCTCTGGAACCTGAACCTGTACATCTGAAACGTGAATCCTTCATGCAAACCCTGAACCTTGAAACCTAGTCCCAGGCACCTGTCTCATGTTCTCTGGAAGCTCCTGCAGGAGCTGATTATAGACAGTGTGACCTCGGCAAGACGTCAAAGTTCTCTAGAACACGCTTTTGGACTTCTGGCGATAGAAGCTAAATGATCGGCTGTCAAATTCACTATGGTCTCATTCGGGCCCTAGTATACTATGGGCCCGAATATTGAGAGTCAGCAAAGAGGAGCCACATGTCTGGCAACCAACCATGCGCAGGTTGCATAAGCTGATCATCTAGTGGCCATAGCGCACCTGTACAGGTGTCTGAAACTTACGAGCCCCCACATGCTTAAGAGATTGGGGAATTCGCTACATACTCCGAACATTGCACAAGAATTTGAAGTACCGCTCATGTATAGAAACCTGACTCAGTTTTGGAAATGACCCCTGGCCTGTTGATATCGGCAATCTAGTAACCAAGCTGAAGCGACCTCGAGGGCAACAAATCCTCATCCCAGACACTCGAGCTGACATACTGGGTTGCTGCTAAAGAGCTGAAATTCAGAGAATATGGATATATCATACATCACGGGGTTCCCCTATGTAGTAACTTAAAGCAATTCCTCAACCCAGCATAAGGGAAAAGGAAATGGAAGCTACTCGTTCGGGATTACGCTTTAGGGAATGAGGGAATGAAGGACTGAATGGAGAAGAAGATGACAGCTCCATATCTCGGGTGCAGGGAATGAAGAAAACTGCAACTCTGTATTTGGGGTTTAGGGTTTAGGGTAGGTTTTAGGGAATGAAAGAACGGAAAAC